CTCTCTGCTACAGGTGTCCCATCCCTGTTGGTATAAGTCTCCTCTTGCTGTGTACTCATATATTAGCTGCTCCATCGGTTTCATTTTTCTGTAAAGTCTTCCTAGGAATCCTTGACCTCCTCAGCTTTCCTGGTTATCCTTGGTCACTGTGGGTTCTCCCCTCATTGCTGGCTTGGGGACTCCCTTTCAGCTGTCTGTCTACCTGGCCCCTGTTTCCTGCTGCCTGGGCAGAATCATGCCCTTGTTTTGGAGAAGACCACCTTCTGACAGGATGGGAGGAAAGACACACGGGTGGGCAATCGGAGAGCTTATGTCTGAAAACATCTTATTCTCTCATCCATGGTAGTTTGACTGATGAGATGGGCTAAACTGTGTCCCCCTGCTTCCCTCCAAACTCTGCATGTTGAAGTCCTGAGCCCAGTGCTTCAGAATATGATTGTATTTAGAGGTAGGCTATTTTAAGAGGTGATTAAGGTAAGACTAGGCTGTTAGGGCTGTCACTAATTCTCTGTGACTGGTGTCCTTATAAGAAGAGGTTGGGACGTGGACAGTGCAGACAGAGGATGACCATGTGAGGACACAGGGAGGATGCAGCTGTCTACAAGCCAAAAGAAGAAGAATCCACATCTGTGGACACCTTGATCTCAGACAACTATTCTCCAGAAGTGTGAGAAGCACTTCTGTTTAAGCCATCCAGTTGGTGGTATTTTGTTTTAGCAGCTTCTCTGAGCTCCACTGCCAATGTCCTACTCATTCCCTGCTCCAGTTCAGTGACTCCTGGGCTGTTTCCTGAGTTGCCTTACTGGCCTCAGGACCTTTGTTCTGCCCGCCTGGTGCCCTGTCCAGGCTCACTGCCCCACAAGTGTCTCCCCCAGAGTGGCTGCCCACTTCACCCTTGAGAGACTCTCTTCCCTCACAGAGCACTGGTGGAATCACACACATGATACGGGAGTGTGGGTCGTCTGCGTTTTACTTCTCAAGGGGGATCATGCCCCCTAGACTTGGGCTTCTGCTCTGTCATGCCATCTCCAGCCAGGCCACACTGAGGCAGGCTGGTATTCCATTACTTTCTTGGATGGATAGAGCTTGGATCAGTGAACTCAGAAACAGAGCATTGACTCATGCCACCACCTTCTCTCTTCTGCTTTGGAAAATGCTCTTTGGTGCAGGCTCCCTGCAATCCCTCCCCAGCTGCCCATTCAACCAGAAAACACACACCACACATACACCCAAGGGGCAGCAGAGCAGCATTCCTTGGGAAGAGTGGCCTTATCTCCCATTGCACTAATTAGCCCTCTTGATGTCACTCTGTGCCAGAAGCTTTTCCTGTCTGCCTGTATTCTCTAAGCCTCAGAACTGGGGGTTCCCAGCCCCTGCCGGGCCCCGCTTCTAAGCTAGGAGGCGCATCCTAGAGTCTGCCAGATGTCCCCCTGGGCGCCTCAACTCCAGATCCCCAGTGCCTCATCCCAGGATGGCTTTCGACTTCCACCTCCTCCTGTTTTGGTCCAAAACCCTGCCCCAAGCACCCTCCATGGTGGCTTCTACCCAGCCCTGCTAGCCTCAGACCCTGAGTGGGGAGCAGAGGCCTCACTCGTTGCATGATTTAAATTGTAGGAGATGAAAAAATGACCAATTCTGTGATACATGTGATATATATAAAACAAAGCAGCAAAATCATCCAATTTCATCTTTTTCATGGGTCAAGTAAAGACAAAGCTGTCCAAGACTAAATGTTTAAATTAAAAAGAAATCTTGTGACCCTAAGCCTCTCTGCTAATTTGTTCGTCTGCTGTTCTGCCTGGGAGAGCAGCTGACTAGCAAGGTGACAACACTCCTGTAAGCCATGCCCATACCCAGTCCCACTGGCCCCTCCTCCTCAGCTTCCTAGCAAGGCTTCTGCACCCCGATTTCCTTCTGGTTCCATGAAGCATCCAGAGAAGGTGGCAGGTGGGCTCAGATCCCACCAACAGCTCTTGACACTGGCGAGTCCCCATGTGTTCCAACGGCTGCATCAGAGGTTCCCCTGAGGGCCACATCTGGGAACACAAAGCTGCTCCTCCCTTGTGTGGGAGGCCATGGACAAGGGAATGAACACTTCCACCACGGCCTTCAACCCAAGATGCTCAGGAGTCTGTACACACAACCTGGCTCCCTCATCCTGGGGGAGAGTCTGAGCTGTGCATTTTGCAGAATTTCCCCGCAAACTGCCACTGGTGTGTGGCCAAGATTCATTGGCCAGCTTTCTGAAGACAGAGCCCAACTTGCAGCGTTGGCTGCCTTCTGTGGTGTAGATCCTCCCACAGTGGCCAATTTCAGTGGTCACATGATGTCACTGAAGGTGAGCCTGGGAGGAGATGCTCACCACTGCCATGTCCTCCATGGGTGTGGCCGAAGGCCCGAGCACTTTTCTCATGCCTCCCCTGCCTTCCCTTTCCTGGATGCCCCCTCCCTGCTGCTGGGGCCCTGCACCTCTCTAGTAAACCCCATCGCCTGCTTGCTGGAACCCTGATGCTCGTCTGGGGCCTGCTTCTGAAGGAACCCTGTGAAAACAGTGAAAGTCTAGAAGGGGCCATGGAGAGCATTTGTTTTGCAGACGAAGATGCACAGACCCAGAGAGAAGAAGCGACTTCCCAGGTTCCCAGCTGGGCAGCAGCACATCCAGCTCCAGAGCTCCCAAACCCTGGGTGCCAGGCCGGGGCTCATCCTCAATCATGCTGGTCTTGCCACCTCCATAGCGTTATGCCCGGAAGCCATCTCACTGTCTCACTTCCGGGGTCACACTTGGCTAGAAGGCTCTGGAGAGCATTGCTCTCAGGGTCTGGGCTGAGTGTTTCCAAATGCTGGCACCCGGGCCCTCTGTGGGGGAGGTGTTGAGACACCCTGCAGCCCAGGGCCTGGCAGTACAGCAGCAGGGGAAGAGTAGGCTTGGGGGCCTGGCAGCCAGAGTCAGAGTTCTCATGTGTCCATTTCTAAGATGAGCCAGAATGCATCCTGTTCAACCAGCAACCTGGCCATCTACAAGGCAGTGATAGTGATCCTGACCCAGAGGTGCTTCCTGGACCCCGCTCAGGATGCCCAGAGGGGAGGATGAGGCTGGTGAGGATGATGCCAGAGAAAACCCCTCATGGTGTGTCCTCTAAGTCTCAGCCTCCTCATCTGCAAAAAGGGGGCTCTGAGCATGCTAGCAGACAGGCTGACTGATGAGCGGGATAAGCCGAACCATGTGAGCGAGGCTCTGAGGGAGAGAGGGCAGACCCTGTGCTATGGGCATCTGAGGGTCACCACGGGGCTGCCCTGTCCTGTGTCCTCAGGTGGCTGCCCTGTCCTGTGTCCCCTGAGCCGCTATGAAGGCAAGATATATCACGCCGTGCCCACAGTCCCGAGCATTCGATCGCCAGCTGCTCTCACGAGAAATGGTTTAGGCCCAGAGTTGCATGGTGGGAAGGGGATGGTGAACTGTGGGTTGATCCCTGTTGTATGGAAGAGGCAGATCATTGCTTTGCTAGAAAGAGGGGCAGGACATGGGGTGGGAGCTTAGATGTGATTTTTGTCCTGCACATTTGCAGATAATAAAAAAATCCTTTTAGAAAGCATCTGTATGCAGCTCCCCATGGCTAATTCCCCTCTGTTCTCCTGTTTACTGGTAAAATGACTGGTGCCATTATTGATTAACTTGAACTTTTAAATTTCATTGAGGAATTATTAAATGTTTGCTGTGGGAATTAGTAGGAATTAAAAACAATCAAATGAATTGCAACTTGTTGAGATGAGGCTGTTGTGGACAGAGAGGGAAGACCCTTGGCAGCCCCAGCTCCCTTGGCCCCAAGGGGCCTCCCATAAAAAGGGCTGTCCCCAGGTGTGAAGACCCTATGCCTGGGCCACCATGCAGAGGGAGCAGCCCAGCATGGAGAGCAGGCAGAATGGGGCTCACGCCCTGCTCTGCCCTCACTGAGGGGTGACTGGAGGCTGTTCCTCTGTGCCTGTCTGCCGCCCAAGCACATGGTTGTCATGTCTACCTTGGTGGTTCTGAGGACTTAGGAATCACATGGGTGGAACTCGGAGTTTAGAGCTGGACAAGGGGAAACCCGTGGTAGTAATGAATCCCCTCCTCTCTTGTCTAACCACCCAAGGTGTGTCGCTGAGTGGCTGCTGTGTGCCCTGCCCTACAGGTCTCTGACTTTCCCAAAGTCCCCATGAGAAAGAGTGCAGGTAGAGTTGACTATAACCCCCCTGTGGGAGCAAATGTTTTCTGCCATTCTCCCTTCTAAGTGTTTACATGCATACTTCATTTCACCTTACCAACAGGGAAAACCTTATAATTCATGGGCAACTAGGTGGAATAATCTATTAGAGTATTTCCTCAGAGGTTGAGAAAAAAATTAGCCCCAGAATAATAATTGCTCTAGTCCTGCCTGGCAGAGCCTAAATATGATGCCTGAAAGGATCAAATTTTGTCCAAGTAACTAAAATATATCTCAGAATAAAGTTGAACAATATTGAAGGAATAGAAAAATATCCAATACCCAATACGGTAAAATGTATAATTTCTATCATCTAGTCAGCAATGACTAAGTATTAAATGAAGCAGAAAAATCTGACACGCCATGAGAAAAATCAATGAATAAAAACATACCCATGAATAACATAGATAATAAAATTAGTAGACAAGAACATTAAGCAGCTGCACCTTTACTTCATATGCTTGATAGGTGGAGGAAAGATTGAGCCAGTTAGAAACAGAGTGTATAAACCATGCAAAACATAATTCTAGAGGTGAAAACCAAAATGTGTGGGAGAAAAAATACAATATGGGCTGATGGCAGATTAAATGCTGCCAAAAAGAGTCGTGGAATGGAAGAAGAGGTGATATAAACAATTTAAAAAAAAATTTTTTTTTGCCAAACACAGAGCCTTTATTTCACAAATTATTTCCAAAGGGAATATTGTTGAAGTGAGCAGCCAACAGATTTATAAGAGAGAAAGTGACAGCAAAGGTAACTGGCTCAAGTCCCTCTGTGTACACCATGTACGTTTCATGTCTGAGCACCTTGTGTGTCTGGCTTAAGTGAAGGTAAGGCGGTGTAGATTGTGTAAATGAGAAATCCGCATTCTGGGGTCAGGGATGGCTACTACATGCATCACACAAAATGCACGACCTGAAATGTTTCGATCTGCAACCGAAGTTTTCCTCAAGCAAGGATGCACGTGAGCAGTGACGAACACATACAGAGCAACGTGGGCAGAGAGGTTGGATGATGCTGTGGGGCAGTGAGGCGAGCTAACTGGTCAAGAGCCCCAGACAGGAGGAGCTGTCCAAGTGGCAGAGCAGGCTAGGAGGGGAGCGGCAACCATCTCCAGCCACCTGGAGTTCCTTCCTGCCTTCACTCTAAATTGAGCAGCTCCACATCAAAGATGAGGGTGGCATTGGGAGGGATGACACCGGGGTGGCCCATGGCTCCATATGCCACATCAGGGGTGCAGGTCAGCTTCACCCTCTGCCCCAAGCTCATCTGGGCTGCTCCCTCTTCAAAACTTTTGATGACTTCCTGTTTACCAATTCTGAACTTGAAAGGTTTGTTTCTGTCTCTGGATGAATCGAATTTCTTCCCATTCTGGAGCATTCCTGTGTAGTGCACCACACATGTCTGGTCCTTCTTGGGGAATGTCCTTCCGTCTCCCGGGGAGATGGTCTCGATCTCCATACCCATCACAGTCCCACGGGACCCGCCTCCGGGGGTCCCACTGCTACCCGACCCCGGCTCGGCTCTGGCCCCGGCCCCACAGTCACTTGGTTTGCCTCCCTGCCGCCACTCAATTTTTAAAAATTTTTTAGGAAACAATTTTTAGGAAAGCTTCTAATGGCTTAAAATATGTATAATTGAAGTCCGTGAAGGAGAAGAAAGGACTAAGACAGAAGAAAACATCTATAGAAATAATGGATGAAAAATTCCAAATTAAATTTAAAAACCTTGTAAAGCCACAGAATCAAGAAGCTCAATGAAGCCCAAGCACTAAAATCATGAAGAAAATGACACCAAGTTATGTCATAATTAATTTGCTTAAAACTAGTGATAAAGAAAAAAATCATGAAGAATCCAGAGCAGAAAAGCATATTATATACAGAGGAACAAACATAAAAATGAAAATAGACTTCTCGTTGGAAATAGTGTAAGGCAGAAGACATGAGAAGACATATTTAAAATAGAGAAAGAAAAAAATCTCAACCTATAGCCCTATATTCTGTGAAAATATATTTCAAAATTAAGGTGAAATACAACTTTCTCAGACTACCAAAGGATGAGAGAATTCATGACTAGAAGACCAATACTGTAAGTCATGTTAACAACATAGTTTCCTCCAGACAAAAGAAAAATAATTTAAAATGAAAATATGGCTCCACACAAAGAAATGAGGAACAACAGAAACAGGAAAGACATGGATAAATATAAAATACTTTAAAATATTTTAAAGGAATAATTGGCTGCTTAATGCAAAAATAATGACAAGGGTAATGCATTGTGGGCTTTATAGCACACGTAGATATGAGATGTGTGGCAGAAATAGCAAAAAGGATGGGAGAGGGAAGAAATGGAAGAAGGCAACTGTAAAGACCTTATACTATGTGTGCAGCATAATCAAATTACTTAAAGGTAGATGGTGTACTATCAACTCTAAAGTAACCACACACACGCACACACATACACATACACTCACTGCCTTAGTCCATTTGTGCTGCCATAAAGGAACACCTGAGGCTGGGTAATGTATAAGAAAAGGAGTTTGCTGGGCTCGGTGGCTCAGCCTGTAATCCTGCGCTTTGGGAGGCCGAGGTGAGTGGATTGCCTGAGCCCACGGGTTCGAGACCCACCTGGGCAACTTGGTGAGACCTCATCTCTACAATAAATCAAAAATCAGCCGGGCATGGTAGTGGCCACTGCACTCCAGTCTGGGTGACAGAGTGAGACTCCAACTCCAAAAAAAAAGAAAGAAAAGGGGTTTATTTGACTCACAGGTCTGCAAGCTGCACAAGAAGCATGGCACCAGCGTCTGCTTCTGGTGAAAGTCTCAGGTGGTTTCCAGTCATGGTGGCAGGTGAAGGGGAGATGGGTTGCAAAGACCACATGGCGAGAGAGAAGGCGAGAGGGGAGAGGAAGCGAGAGAGAAGGGAAGCAGATACTGGGCCCTTTTATGCAATCAGTTCTCAAAGGAACTAGCAGAGCAGAACTTGCCCATTGTGGTGAGGAAGACACCAAACCATTCCTGAGGGATTCACCACCATGACCCAAACGCCTCCCATTAGACCACACCTCCAACACTGTGGATCAAGTTTCAACATGAAATTTGGAGGGGTCAGACAAACCATAGAGTGCACATGCACACACACACACGCACGCACACACACACACACGCACACGCACACACGAGTTATGACCATTAAGTAAAGCAGAATTATTTAAAATAATCCAAAAGAAGTCAAGAAAAAAAGAACAGATGAGACAAATGGAAAACAAATAGCAAGATGGAAGATTAAAATCCTACCATATTATTAATCACATTAAATGTTAATGATCTAGCTGGGCTAGGTGGCCCAGCCTGTAATCCCGCGCCTTTGGGAGGCTGAGGTGAGTGGTTTGCCTGAGCCCGCGGGTTCAAGACCCACCTGGGCAGCGAGACCTCATCTCTACAATAAATCAAAAAATCAGCCGGGCGTGGTAGCGCATGCCTGTAATTCCGGCTACTCGGAAGGCTGAGGTGGAAGGATCGCCGGAGCCCAGCAGGTTGAGGCTGCGGTGGCCGGGAGCAGCCACTGCACTCCAGTCTGGGCGACAGAGTGAGACTCCAGCTCAAAAAATAAATAAATAAGTAAATAAATAAATAAATATTAATGATCTAAACAGTCATAGAGTGTCAGATTGCATAAAAAGCAAGTTCCCTATTATATGCTCCCAATAAGAAATTCACATTAAATGTAAAGACACAAGTGAATTAAAAGTGAAAGGAAGAGCCGGGCTCTGTGGCTCAGCCTGTAATCCCACGCCTTTGGGAGGCTGAGGTGAGTGGATTGCCTGAGCCCGCGGGTTCGAGACCCGCCTGAGCAGCAAGACCTCATCTCTACAATAAATAAAAAAAAAAATCAGCCGGGCGTGGTAGTGCATGCCTGTAATTCCGGCTACTTGGAAGGCTGAGGCGGAAGGATCGCCGGAGCACAGCAGGTTGGGGCTGCGGTGGCCGGGAGTGGCCACTGCACTCCAGTCTGGGCGACAGAGTGAGACTCCAACTCAAAAAAAAAAGTGAAAGGAAGGAGCAACCCCTTCAGGTCCCCTCCCACTGTGGGAGCTTTTCTGTCCTCTCAATAAATCCTGCTGTCAAATAAATAAATAAATAAATAAAAGTGAAAGGATGAAGAAAGGTATCATGTTAACAGTAATCAAAAGAAAACTTGAGTGTTGATAATATCCAACAATTAGAATTTCGAACAAAAAATAATGTTATCAATGACAAAGTGAGTCATTTTACAGTGCTGAGGGAGTCAACAGTATTTAACACTCCTAAACATCTCCATCTAATAACAGAGTTTCAAAATATATGGAACCAAACCTGATAGAACTTAAGGGAGAACTAGGCAAGTTCACAATTAGAGTCAGAGATTTCAATACCCCCTCTCAATAATTGATAACAAAGTATGAGTAAGGAGAAAGAAAATTGGAAAAACACTATCAAACAACTTGATAAAATTGGCATTTATAGAATAATCCATCCAACCATAGTAGTGCAGTCACCTACCATGTGACACAACCATTCCACTCATGGGTATTTGCCTAAGAGAAAAGAAAGAACATGTCCATTAACATTAATTCACAAATGTTCATAGTATCTTTATGGGTCCCAGCCAATATCTGGAATTATTTAGGAGTTAGCCAACATCTAAATGTCCATCAGCAGGTAACTTTAAAAACAAACCAATGTATTTACACAAAGGAATACTACTCCTAATATGAGATATAGATGAATCCTAAAATATAGATGAATCCTAAAATAGTTATGCTTACACCAAAAACTGTAAAGCATAGATGAAAGACAATAAGAAAACTTATATATATATATATATATTTTTTTTTTTTAAATGATATTGTGTGGTACAGTTAAGGGTTAGGTATACAAATACGTTTCATTCAGGCACCCTTGTTGATAAGAGGTGTTTCCCCATCCCCAGACTGATATTTGCTACCGTTAATCCCATCTCCCTCCCCCTCCATAGTTTCCCACTACTGTCAGTCATTTTCTTATATTATTACATTGGATGTTCAAGGTCCATTATATGAGTGAAAATATGTGATACTCGATCTTTGTTTCTGTGAGAGGTCACTCAGTATTATAGACTCTAGTTCCATCCAGTTTGCTGCGAAATTCATGACTTTATTCTTTTTTTTTGGCTGTGTAGTATTCCATCATGTATATGTACCACATTTTTTAATCCAGTCCTCTTTTGATGGGCAGCATGGTTGCTTCCAGGTTCTTGCTATTGTGAACAATGCTGCGATAAATATGTGTGCAGGTATCTTTTTTATAGAGTAATTTGAGTTCTTCAGGATATATTCCCAATAGGGGGATTGCAGAGTCATGTAGGAGGTTGCTATTTAAAGCTTTTAGGAATTGCCACACTGCTTTCCACAGAGGTTGCATAGTTTACACTCCCACCAACAGTGTAGAAGTGTTCTGTTTTCACCACACCCTCTACAGCAGCTGTTATTTTTTGAGTTGCTGATAATTGCTATTCTGACTGGAGTTAGGTGGTATCTCAGTGTGGTTTTGATTTGCATCTCTCTGATGATTAGTGAGATTAAACATTTCTTCATGTGTCTGTTGGCTGCTCGGATGTCTCCCTTTGTGAAGTGTCTGTTCATATCTTTTGCCCATTTTATAATGGGGCTGTTTGTTATTTTCTTTTCAGCACGTTTCAGTTCCTTGTAGATCGAAGATGTTAGGCCTTTGTCAGACCTGGTGTTGGCAAATACTTTTTCCCAGTCTGTAGGCTGTCTCCCTGCTTTCTTGATGGTTTCATTGGCTTTGCAGAAGCTTGTCAGTTTAATGAGGTCCCACTTGTCTATCTTATCTCTTATGGCCTGTGGGTTTTGGGTTTTGTTCAGGAATTGGATGCCAGTTCCGATTTCCATGAGGGTATGTCCTTCATTTTCTAAGGTTCTTATGGTTTAAGGTTTTACATTTAGGTCTCTGATCCACTTGGAGTTAATTTTTGTATATGGGGATAGAGACGGGTCCTGTTTCAATCTTTTGCATGTGGTCAGCCAGTTTTCCCAGCACCATTTACTGAATAGGTTCTCCTCTCCCCAGTGGTAGGTGGTGGAGGCTTTGTCGAAGATGAGTTGGTTGAGAAATTGAGGTTTTGCTTCTGGAATCTCAATTCTATTCCATTGATCTATATGCCTGTTCCTATACCAATACTAAGCTGTTTTGATGATTGTAGCTTTATAGTACAGTTTGAAGTCTGGTAATGTGATACCACCTGCTTTGTTGTTTTTTGCTGAGGATTGTTCTGGCTATTCTTGGACGTTTGTGTTTCCATATGAGTTCCTGTGTTGTTTTTTCTAGGTTTGATAAGAATGTTGTTGGTAATTTGATGGGTATTGCATTGAATTTGTAGATTGCCTTAGGTAAGATGGACTTCTTCACAATGTTGGTTCTTCCAATCCATGAGCATGGGATATTTTTCCACTTGTTTGTGTCATCTTTGATTTCTTTGAGCAGTGTTGTGTAGTTT